AGAATAGAGTTTGGTTCAGCTAGTCAATTTCCTGTGGCATAGTTTCGATATTCACAAGAATGTCTACAGGCAAGAAATACTACTTAGAGAAATGTTGGCCCTACCTAATATGTTGTACAAAGGAACAGGAAAAGATCTAAAAAAAAAGTAAAATCATTTCAAAAAAAGATATCTGTACGCTACGAGTAAGTACCTGTAAAAGTTGCAATGTGATAACCAGCGATGATTCGTACGTGCCATCACGGACTGAAAGTATGAATGCTGTCTTAACATTCATCGATAAATGTATTTTCTAACGGTATATTTTAATGTAATTTTCAATTATCTTTTATGCATACCGATATCACGAAAAAAACTTTGGATTTATACTTTACATGATATCTAATGTATAAATAGGTCAAAATCCCAATGTTGAAAATTGTAGCAAAAACAAAGCTTGCTCTCCAAGGAAGCAAAGGGATAAAAATAATTACTTAACAATATGAATATATGAAAATATTTATTGCAATCAAAATATAATGGAAAATAACATTAAAATATACCTCTATTAAACATGAATTAGTCTTAAATAATAAATAATAATAAATCTAACGTCCCAGTTAGCCTAAACGATGGATATACACGTCGAAGTAACGCAAACTTTCATATCACTTTTTAAGAATTAAGTGTGTAACGGTGAATCATAGTCGTCCTTCCTCAGGTGGCTCGCGATTGCCCGTGCAAATTATTTACTGAGGATTCGGGAAACAAGAGTCGTTCCCACGACTGAATAACGCGTTGACCGCACACGTTAATCGCACACGAATTGTCTTGCACGGGATCAGGAGTGACTTCGGGTATAGAGATTATAGCCAAATTTTAATAATTATAGCCAAATAAAATAATTTTAATTACAACAAACCAAAGGAAACAAAGTAACTGAATTTATATCCGCGAACAAAATAATCGAAACTATATGAAAAGGAACAAAATAATAGGAAATATAGAAAATAATAAAAGAGTACAAAATAATATGAAAGATCAAAATAATACCGCCGTTATAATCAACATACAAATGCAAGCACGCAGCGGATCGGTTGCAAGGCTGCTCACCGAATCGCTGTTTACCCGATCAAGGAGAAAGAATATAAAGAAAAACACATCTGCATATAAATCAGGAAAACAAATCACTCGAGCAAATCTAAGCGTGACCTCGCAGCCGGCAGAGCTGCAAAGTCGCATAATGTTCACTCGACGCCTCGGACAGAGAGAGAGAGAGAGAGAGAGAGAGAGAGAGAGAGAGAGAGAGAGAGAGAGAAAACACTGCATCGACCTAGCCGCGCGTTGATTGCGTGTATCGCTCCGCCCGTTCTTTATCTCCGTTGAGGGGAAAATCCTGTAGCAAACAAAGGGTTCCTTTTACAATCGATCTCGTACTCTTGAATCTCGATTAACTGGGGCTCGGCGATATTGTTGTTGTTGACCTTACTGTTGTTATTTTCGTTGTTAGCGCTGTTAGTGTTACTGTTGTTACTCTGGTTGTTCGTGTTGCTATTATTATTGATTTGTGGTGTGACTACGGTGACTGGTACTGTTGTTGTATTTGTTGTTGTTATTGTTATTCCTGTTGCTGTAGTGTTACAGTTGCGGCCTTTGAGCGTGTGTGTATGTGTAAGCTGGTGATCGTCGAATGTGTGTATGTGTGTGTGTCTTGAACGTGCCGAATCTCGTCCCCCGAGATAAATCAGCGAGAAAATCGCAACTCACCATAGCACACAAAATGGCCGCACGCGCGCACACGCCCGCGTCACCTCGCCGGTCGCCCACGTGCACCGATACCGGCCTCGCTACATTCGCGGAAACTCACACACAAAAAGAAAGATAATGTCACTCCGCGCACCGGGCACGTATCCTAGAAAATCTTCGGCGAGGGCGTGGGAACTCAGAAAACAGGTGAAAATCGACGAAAAAGCTGTGCGCGCGGCGGTCCGTTCAGCTACCAAACAGCTACTGCTGCCGATTTCTCCTTTCTTAGCTAGCGAGATGCGCGCGCAGGTCTGCCGGCAACTCGCTGGCTCTCCCATATCTTCCGTCTCTCTCTCTCTCTCTCTCTCTCTCTCTCACTGCGATCTTCTCAACTAGCGCACACTCTCAGCTCGGTAAGGCGCACGGGGATCAGTGAGAACCCGATGGAGAGCAACGGTCGAGCCGTGATTCTCCGTTATAAGTGACTAAAAAACTTTAACTGTGAAACCTCTGTCCTCAACCGAAAAATATTTGTGTGACTAACCCAACCCAATCCGAATCTTTACTACGAAACTTCTTTCGTAGTAACTTAGACCGATAAAGTATTTTTCTGACTAACTTTTTCTGTAACGTACATCTTTTCTACAACACCTCGTTTCGAATAATGTATACTAACAAAATTTTTACAAATCTTTGTAAGTCATTTTATTTTCTTCTCATATTCTCTTACTGAATGTATACGTTGATATGCTTAATATGATTTTTTATAGCTTGAATGTCTTTCTAGTATTGTTTCTTGTCATCACGCAGCCGTCATCCAAGCAGAAACTGAACTTTCAACATACAAATATGACAGTTGATTTTCATTCACCACATTAAAATGAAGGTATAATAGTTGAAAAAATAATAATATATTACAATAATAATATAATAATATGTGACGGTAAACGTCTAGTTTGCGCTACCGTCTCGATCACGTGGCTATCTACGAGGGCAGCACCTACCGGCCCGGGGAAGTCGAAAACGGGAACTGGGTCCGAAATAGGACGGAACGCGAGCGAAGAAAGAAGGACCAGTCTAAGAGCAACGCTAGAATCAGTAACAGCGTGCCAATGGGAAAGCGCCTTTGACACTGGTAATAACGTGCAGGAGTCGAGGATTAACGCTAGAGTTGAGCAGTTACTCGAAAATCGCGAATAGCGTGTCCGAATCCAGGAGTGCCTCTAGCATCGGCAAGGACGCAAGTCGAAATCGCATTTTTTTTGTGTTAGAGGTGGTGAGGTACTTCGGTTGACCTGTGTTTTTTCGGCGAGTTCGCTGAACTGTGGGTAAGTACCGGTGAGACACTGAGAGAGTCTAGGATTGTATTTAAGGTGAAATTCCTTTGTCGTTATGTCGTCAACACGCTAGGCTCGAGTTACACCAGAGTTCGAACGTTCCGAGAAGGGCAACAGCGGGAGTCACTTTGTTTACATTGTGCGATTAGCGCTAGTAATTTGAAATCGACCCTGGAGTTCGGGGTGACGAGGCAAGCCTGATGTTTTGGCTAATATGTTGTGGATGTGTGTATTGTGGATCTGTGTATTGTGCAATTAAAGCGCGTGATTTGTATCATCGCTTCTGGCTGCTTGAATTTAAGTATACGTAGGTTGAACGAACTGTCGAGCGGCGATTAAGATTTTGAGTTGCGTGTTCGCACCAAAGTCATCGCTGCTAGGAGACTTAGTGTGCGTGCGGATAACTGTTGCGAGTCGCAGAGCAAATTCTCAGTGGGTTTGTTTGTTTACGCTGAACTAGGCGTGTAAGACGATGTCTCTAGCAAGGTCGTCGAAACGGCCGAAGCCAAGCGAGACGCGCGCGCGACCGGAAACCTTTAGGCGACGAGTTATGAGAACGCCGGAGATAAACGAACTATGGGAACGGGTGCGAGAGACACGTCTAAATGATTTGTTAACATGGATTTCGGCCCGGGGCCTAGTGACAGAGGGAACAACGACAACCGTGCAGGATAGGGCACTACGCGTATTTTTGTTTAGCGTGTGCCACGAATCGGCGCCCCCGGTAAAGGCAGAGGACTTCGTAGCGGGCGAAATCCCGAATACCGTTGTCGCGACGGCCGTATCAGCGGCGCGGGATGGTGCGTTATTGGAAGCATGGGAGGCAACGGTGCGCGTAGCGGACGACGGGCGAAGACTCAAAACGCGGCAACGCGGAGCCGTCGGAAACGCGTATTCGCGTAACCGACGGCATGATCGCGAACGAGGAGCCGCTGAGAACAAATGTGAGGTCAGCGCTGACCCGATCGGCGTTGGTGAGCCTCGTGAGACTGGAGGGTCTTGCCGACGGACAAACCGAGGTGGGGCAAGCGTGCACAGGGCAGCGACCGACTAGCTTTCATGGGCAGAAGCCGTCAATATAGTGGCGCGCGGTTAGTTTAATTTAGCCAGTGCGAGAAGTATTGCCGGTGCCCGGAGCGCGAAACACCGAAGGCCGGGGCGAGGTGAATAACGTACCGGGATATGAGAGGACGCGCGACCCTAGAGACACCAGTATACCGGCGTGCGGAACGTTCAACGCGCGACCCATGGCGAAACTCGAGTCGACGCAGTTGGCCGCCCGGGCGAACGAGAATGAGCGCTCAGCACTGAGGGGGAATAGCGCGATGAGAATACGCCAGTGTAAAGATAAAAACGAGGAGTCAGAGCAGTCAGAGTCCGATGAAGCGAGTTATGACTTAGCGCTCGAGGACGATGAGACGTGGGGACATGACTCCGAAGGCGATGGTTGCGTAGGAAAGCCAAAAGCTCGGTATATCTATGGCCGACCGGCAGACGCGGTGTCAGCGTTGAAAAACTGGTCGGTAGTATTTACTAGGAAGGGCGGGCTGACGGCGGAACAATTTCTTAAACGACGCACGAAGTGCATTTTATAGGTTTCGTGATGCAGAGATATTGTCGGCGTTGATGACCGCATTCACAAGTTCGGAAATGATGCTTTGGTGGGAGACAAACCGTCCGAGTTGACGAACGCTGCGCGAATTTAAGGAGGAGTTCCGACGACAGTTTTACCCGCGGCCCTCGCGCGAGGACGTGTACGACGCGCTGCGCCGCCGTACTCAAGGCGAGGACGAGCCGCTGGGTCAGTACCTTACGGCTTTCCTTTATATCGCGGATTGGCTGGAGCCGAGACTCTCAGAGCGGTGACAGCTCGAACTGATTAAAATAAATCTGTATCCGAAGCTGCAGAAATTTATCAGGTCGAAAAAGGTCAAAAATATGGCAGAGCTACGCGCGTGGAGAGAAAAATTTGAACGTCAGCGCGACATTGATGATTTATATCGACCGCCTCCAACGCCACAAGAATCGTTGATGCCGGAAGTTGCGTACCGAGGAAACGCGGCGAACGAAACTACGAAACCGGGCATCAGAAACGCGAGCTTCGCGGTAAGAGAGTCTGTCGCGTCGGTTCAGTCTGCGAGTGGGAAGGGCCAGCGCGGCAAGACGGTGAAGCTAACGTCGAAGTTTGAAAGTGACAACCGAAACCCGAGCAAGGAAAGTCCGTTGCAACAAGACTCAGCGAGTTCGCCGGAGATGTTGCCGGCGGATGTAGTGGCTGCGTTGTCGCAGCTACTGTGGACTCACAGCGGGACGTCTTCGAGAGGCACGATTCCGGCAGCGAGTAACGCAGCTGGCCGCGCAGCGTTCCGGGGTGTATGCTATAAATGCGGGGGGCGCGGGCACCGTAAAACTGAGTGCCCGCAAGATGCACGGATTCCGCAGGAAAGTGCGGGTATGCCAACAGCCGCTGACGCAAACAATAGCGCGGGTGCTAACCAAGCTGCGAGACGCGGCGAAGGTAAGGGCCCAGTGCGCTGCTATAAATGCCAGCAGCTTGGCCACTATGTGAATAAGTGTACGCTGGGAGCGCAAGCCTCGCGAAAATGCCAGGGTTGCGGTGCGGATAGTGGAACCCTTGAAATATGTCCAGAATGCCGGGGATGGATCAGGGCGATGGGAAACTCCAATGCAAGTTCCGAGCGCCCGACGGGCCCCGCGTAATGTCGCATGACAAGGCATTTCATCCCGGTGAGATCGCGTACAATAGACTGTTTGAGAGCGGACTTGCGGAGCACCACAGACGGATTGAAAAGCGACGATCAGAGCAGCTGGAAGGCACAAGCGCGAGCGGTGCGCGGCCAAGTGCTCCAGCATGTCGAGTCCAGCACACGGGACGCGAAACGGAGAATTTAAGAAAAATTTTTGATTGGATTGGATTTAATGAGCGGTGGCTGAGGTTGCGTGAGGCCGATTCGGAGCGCCGGAACGAGGAACAGGCCGCATAAACGCTGAAAGCAAACCGAGGGAATATCCAAGGATGTCCGGCGGACGGGCGCGGGTCAATAGGGAAGGATTCGACGGGAGCGCCAGTACCAGACAGAGGTATTCGAGACTCGGGCGAAATCGTGGAAACCACGCGGTCTTTGAGCAGTCCGGGGGAAGGTGCGAAGCGCGTACTACAGGCCTCAGAGCAGGCTCAAGCCGCGAGACCGGGGCAGCACGACATGAGACAAGAGGTAGACGACTCTGGTGGTATAGACGAGACGTCGTCTCAATCCGTCACCTCGTCGAGCAAATTCATGGTGCTGAGCGGTAAGGTTGTGGTGAGAGCGTCTCTGCTAGGAGCGATAAGCGGACCAGGGCGCGAGCCGATACATGAGAAATATGTGGGAAATGCACATACTGGAGATGGCGAGGAAGTCTCACGCTTATGCGTACGCGTGTGTATAGGCGAACCGAAGGCGGACGCAGTGGAGAACCGCGCGCTTTTGGGTAGTGCATATCGCAGAGAGACCGTATAGTGCGCTTTACGAATCGGGAGCGATGTTGACTATTGTAGGGTCGCGCGTACGCCGAGAGTTCGCGGACCACATTGAGCCGTGTGATGCGGCGTTGTTCGGTTTCGCTGGAGCAAAAGCGAAAATCGTGGGGAGACTTCGCCTTAGAGTTGAAATTGATGGAGTAGTGCGCGAAGTAGTAACGTGAGTCGTGGACGCGCCGATGCAGTATGATATGATAGTCAGGATGGACATCATCGAGGGATTCGGTATCGGCATGGAGCATGCGGAAGGGCGTTGGCACATAAGGAATGGCCCTTGGCACTCGTTTGCAGAGTTAAAACGCGAGAGAGTGAAATTTCAGAGCGACTCGGGATTCACGCGTGCTCGCATCAGGGCCGAGGTCGCTGGACTTTCCGAACTACGACCTTCGCAGCGCGAATTGATAGAGCAATTGTTGCGTCGGGTAGTGCCCGAGAAATCGCCGGCATGCACGAATTTGATTCGGCATGAAATAGATGTGCAGGGTACGCGGTCGGTGAAGACCCCTTTGAGGCGATATTCGCCGCAAATGATGGATTTCATGCGCCGCGAAACGAAAAGATGGTTGGAATCCGGGTAAATTCGCAGGTCGACAAGCGATTGGAGCAGCGCGCCAGTGATCGTGAAGAAGCAGGACGGCACAAATCGAATGTGTATTGATCTGAGATCGGTAAATAAGGCGACAAAAGCAGACGTATATTCGATGTCGAGTATTGACACGATTCTTGATCGTTTGCGTGGAGCGCAATTTATCTCGAAGATCGACTTGAAAAACGCATATTTAAAGGTACCGTTGAGCGAGGAAAGTAAGCAGTATACGGCATTGGCGGTTCCAGGGATGGGCCTATTTGAATGTAATTATATGATCTTCGGGTTGATCAACGCGCCTGCAACATTCATGCGTCTGATGGATGCGCTGTTTGGTCCGGAATTCGAGCCGTTCGTGTTTAAGTATCTTGATGACGTGATAGTCGTGACTGAGACTTTTAGCGATCATCTGGTGGTGTGGCTTGAGCGGGTATTGGAAAAGTTGGTTAATGCAGGACTCGAGGTAAACATAGGGAAATACGAATTCGGATGCTCGGAATTGACATTTTTGGGATACCGTCTGGATAGCCAGGGGCTGCAACCTGACGCAGATCGGATCCAGCCGGTGGTTGAGTTTCCTCAGCCCAAAAATGTCAAGCAACTGCGACGCTTCCTCGGTATGTGCGGATGGTATGCGCGATTTATTGAGCATGAGAGCGATATGAAGGTGCCTCTAACGAAGCTCACGCGCAAAAGCGAGCGCTGGCATTGGGAACCGGAGCAAACCGAAACATTTGAGAAGCTTAAGAAGGCGCTAACGGAACCGCCGGTGCTAGCGAGACCCGATTTTGCGAAGACGTTTTATATCCATTGTGACGCGTCGTCATATGCGCTGGGAGCGTGCTTGATGCAGAAGAACGCGGACGAGCACCCGGTCTGTTACGCGAGCAGGATGCTCAATACGCATGAGCGAAATTACTTGGTATTAGAACTGGAATATGCGGCAGTGATAATGGGTATTAAGAAATTCCGTCCGTACGTTGAGGGGACTCACTTCGTGGTGGTTACAGATCACACAGCGCTCACATGGCTGCGGAACAAGAAAGATCCCGTAGGTAGACTCGCGAGATGGATTCTTGAGCTTCAGCAATATGATTTTGAGATCGTGTACAGAAAAGGTCGCCTTGTATATAATATTATATTATATGCATCATACGCCGGACGCGTTAACCATTACGGACCCAGACTACTTACAGCGCATTAAAGATGTGCTTGCGAGACCGGATAAATTTCGGAATTGGCGAGTGGAGGACGGAAGATTCTCGTCCGATAGATTACTCGATCCGGTCACAAATCGCGAACAATGTTGGCGCTTAGTGGTACCGTTAGAACATAGGGCTCGGGTGATGCGAGACGCGCACTGCGAGCCATCGACAGGACATTTTAGTCGGGACAAAACGTATGATAGGGTTGCAAGGGAATACTCCTGGCATAGGATGTATCACGATATCACGGAGTTTGTACGATCGTGTGAAGAATGCCAGAAGTACAAGATTGAACACAAGCTACCGATGGGATTAATGATCAAACGTGTAGTCGAACGACCATGGCTAGTGGTAGCGGCGGATGCAATCGAGCTGCCAAGAAGTAAGAATAGGTTTAAATACTTAGTCGTATTTCAGGATTTATTTACGAAATACGTAGAGTTTAAGCCTCTCGTGTAGGCTACAGAAAAGGCTCTTGCGCAAGCTCTCGAGGAACTTATTTTATTTAGATGGGAGATCCCGAGTTACTTGGTCACGGATAATGGAAAGAATTTCTGTGGAAACGAATTTCGATCGACGTTGGACGAGTATAAAATCGAACAGGTACTCTGTCCGACATACCATCAGCAGGCGAATTTCGCCGAACGAGCGATCAAGACGCTAAAGCTGATGGTGGCGATTTTCGTAGATCAGGACCACAGAAATTGGGACAAATATTTGCACGAATTTAGACAAGCAATGAACACGACAATTCAGGCGAGTACGAAATTCTCGCCGGCGTTTTTAAACTTCGGGCGTGAGCCGCAGCAAGTGAAGAGTCTGCGACGCGAAATGGAAGCGCGAGCGCCGATCATCCGTTCGTCAAATAAAGATTGGAGCGAGCGAATGGCGAGACTTGACGCGCTTCGCGATTTAGTTATCAAGCATATTGAGGAAGCGCAGATCCGGCAAAAGAAACAATATAATAAGAAGCAGCGTGAAGCGGAATTTTCGGTTGGGGACTTGGTTCTGAGATGTGCGCATACGTTATCAAGCGCGAGCGCAGGTAGAAACGCCAAGCTGGATCTGAGGTTCATTGGCCCATATAAGATCTCGCGTGTAGCTTCGCCAGGAGTTTACATTTTAACCACGGATAATAAGAAGCAGGTGCTAATGGCTCACGTGTCTGAACTTAAGAGGTATATACCTACGTGAAATGCGAGTGCAGGCAGCCGGAGGTAGATGTTACTGTGTGGTGTGATTGTTGTGTGTGTGTGTGTGTGTGTGTTAGTAGCCGATGACAGGACTAGATGACGCAACCAGTATGGTGACTCAAGATAACAGTTACGCGACTAATGAATTATTTGCTAATTGTATATGGAATTTTTATTACTGACGACACAGCGATGCATACGCCAGAGGATGTGGCGCAGGAATCGGAAGAGACAACTCGGCCAGAGATCGTCGCAATAGATGATAGGGAAGCCGCGATCGAGGATATGTAGAGGCGGAGTGAGGGCGAAGTCGCCGAACTCTTGCACGACGTGGGGTCCGAGGTAGAGGTCGTCGCGGATACGTGAATCGCGGTGAGGCCGACGAAACCGTACAGCGTTGTCTGTCCGCCGGGTCGAAGTGCCGCTGTTGCTGCTGCCGCCGCGGCTGCTGATGCAAGGGCGAAAAACGTGGAGCGTGCGCTGGATCCCCATGTTAATATGGTAAAGCCGTCGGTGAGACGCGGATTTAATAACAAAGTCGCAAGGGTCAGATCCTGCCAGTGGATGCGCGACCATTCACCACGAAGGCGAGTTCGCCGAGTGTGTGGGAGGGTCACGAGGCAATTTCGCCGCTGGTACTCTCAGAGATTCGGCGTTGAGTCCCGACTCAGGAACGGCGAGATGAGCTGCACGAACGATTTGGATCGGTGGTGGACGAGCTCATAACGCCGGAGGACCTGCTACCGCAGCGTCCACTACGGTTCGGGGGGTCCACATCGGATCGCCCGGATTCGGGGACTCGGATGCCGCCGAGCACAGCGGCTCGCGGTGGCTCGAGTGAGCACCACCGCCGAAATATTTGCAGGAGCTTCGACGGGAAGAAGCGGAAGAACGCTATGGCACCTCCAAGAAGCGACGCCGTAATAGGAAGACGCCGGATTTCGGAGATTATGAACCCGGGTTCTTGACTGTTGCATTGTCGACTCGTAGCATCTCCATAGGGCAGGATGCGACATGGGAGTTGCCGGTGCAGCGGCGGGGGTTCCAAAATTTGTCTCCGATATTGGAGGTGTCCGGCGAGCAGAGCACGTCAGGATAAGTCTCCGGTTCGTAGAATGGGAATGGCGGGACGGCTGCGGAGAGTGCTGTGTTGATAGATTCGTAGGTGATGGAACAAACAATGGCCCCGAGACCTT